TAGTCCGGGAACTTTCCGGACAAACTGTGTAAGTATAAAAAACCGGTAAAAATGCTTAGTGAGCAAGTTGGACATGTCGACGATCGTTCGTCGTTAGCTGACTCTGTTCGCGGAGCATTGAGCAATAGTAATGTGCAAATTTTTAAAACAGTTTTTGTTTTAGGGTGCTGCTAGGATGCAGCCTGATAGTAGGCCAGAAGATCAAAGAGTTCGATCGGGAGCCAGGAATATATTTTGAAAAAGTAGGCGTACATTAGGGTGGAGTCTAATTGGAAGGTCGTGGTCAGTGTAAATATGGATGCTGTTAGTCAGCAGCAAACACAATTGCGTGAGCTTACTTAGAGTACGCGAGGGAATTGTCAAGAACTAGAGTTTTTAGACGGGGTAGCTCAAATGAACTGCGATAGCATGACCGCCTTGTTCAAAAAGGATATGGAACAACTCAGCAGACTCGTAGATCATATTGAGTTTCTGGGTAAACGTGCGAGCGTTGACAAAAAACGCGGTCTGGTCGACGGAATCGGTGGTCTTGCGAAATGCCTATTTGGAGTAATGGACGCAGAGGATGAAAAACTGATAAATGAACAGTTAAGTGACTTGAGTCAGACACAGGAAACCTTGCGCGGGGCAGTGAGAGGTCAGTTGCAGGTTTTGAATAAAACAGTAGTGCGTATAAACAATTTAGAAGAAACGTTGCAATATAATGAAGAAGTAATAACAAATGTGTCACTAGTCGAATGAACATGGCGCTCGACGCGTATGGTCAGCGCGAACAATTAAGTGAATACTTCGAAACGGTTAACGCGGTAGTGTCAGATCTGTTAAGAGATGCTGAGCAATTAATAGTTTTTGTTACACTTGAAGCGAGGAGTAGTCCATCCAGCGGTGGTGTCACACGAGGTTGTGCTGACACAGCTAAAGAAAGCGGTACCAAGGTTGCCGGACGGAACGCATTTTCCGTTTAAAGTAACAAAAGGATACTGGAATATCATTGAAAAGTTCGGGGACGTGGTTGCTTATATGAAAGGCACAGAAATTGTGGTAGTGATGAAATTCCCTTTGATCACGTATCCTGTAAATGAACTAATACATGTGCTTCCTTTACCTGTGCACAGCCACGACAATGTGTATGCGTTAGCAAGTGTAAAATACAGTTTTATCAGTATTGATAAGGAGGGTAAAACATACGCGTTGTTAACATTAGATGAGTTAAGTCGTTGTAAAAATTTCGGGCATCAGTATTTTTGCGAGCAAAGTATCGTCAAATACTATGTAAGTGGTGAATCACCGTGTGAGGTACGCACATATTTACGAGAAGAAAAAGGTGGGTGTGGACTAAGCTATTTAGTAGCAAATCAAACGTTGTGGTTGTCAACACAGAGTTCATTCACATGGTTGTACTCAACGCACACGAGCGAACAAATCACCATACGGTGCAAAGGACGCGCGGAGGTAGTCGCGACGATTAAGAAAACGGGTCAAGTGACATTGACCGCGGACTGCAAATGGCTGACACAGAGAATGCACATTAGAACGGGGGGAACACCGGTCGGCACACAGGTGCAGGTGTACATACCCGGTTATAACTTGTCGTTACCAACAGTTACACCCACACATGTGCAAAACCCCACCGGTGTGAAGCTAAAACCCGTGTTAAGTGAAAATGAATTGTCACAAATAAGCACTGAAATTAGCAAAATTTTGGAAGACGTGGACACTGTGCGTTCGGCGCAGGGTGTCTACCCTCATGTGATTTACTCCGTGGTTGTAGGAAATGTATCAATGTTCGTAGTAATCATAGTGGTAATTGTCGCGTGGAGATACGTGGGTAAGTGGAGAGTCAATGTAGTTTATCCTAGTATAAGTAGAGCGGATCGGATGCGTACCGTCCTGGGACAATCCGCAACTCCGTAAACTTTGCGTTCATGTGTTGTTAAATTAGCAAAAAAACTATGTTTTTTCTTTTTTCCGGGGGAAGGGAGATGTTGTGCCGGAATTACTAAGTTGAGAAATAGAGTTTATGATAAGAATATTATTATTATCTTGAGTTGCAAAACACTTGTTACTTTTATTATAAGAATATATATTAGCTGACACAATCTGTTTTTAAAAAATAAGTAGTTTAAGCACGTATTGCTTGATCAGCAGGAGTGACAGATTTGTCTCCGCGTGCTGATCAAGCAGAGTTAAGCGGGTGGTGCAACATTGTTTTGCTGTGACACGAGGTCATGCGGGCAAAGCAATGCTGCCCAGTGCCCCCAAAAACGGTATAAAAAAACGCTGCGAGGTGACAGCGTCAGAATTAGTCCGTACGTCGTCGTAACAAAAAGGAGAATTGTATTTGAAAAGAAATAAATCTCGTGTAAATACTAAACGAGAGGACTTTTCTCTCTGTACCTGCTGCTATTCCCGTCAAAAAGAACCCGTTGTGACAAAGAGCACAACAGATGATGCCGGTTGTTTGCAGATTTTGACATCCGCTAAAGTTGATTTCTTGGATGTACTCCTTTCGACTGTTCTGGACTCGTGTGGGAGTGCATTCCACAGTAAAAAATCATTCTGTCTATCTCGATGAGGCACTGTATTGCCTGTGTTTTATTGTAGTCCGACAGCTGCATAAGATGCAAATACGTTTCTTGTGTGTCGGGCTCGATATGGTCGAGTTCACACGTGCCGATATCAGAGAGTAACAAGGTAGTAATGTTTAATCTATGTCCTCCACAGTCGTATCCTATGAAGCCGGCTATCAAGCCTCCTGGTGAGGCAAAAATGAGTGTCATGATGTTAGGTACATTTTGCTGTCCTGGTGTCTCGCTGGTAACTGGCACTTTTTGCCTGCTGGAACCGTCTTCCATCTTCAGCAAAGTAGAGGTTAGATATGGTGGGGGTCGTCGTTCATCGGTAAATATATATATATATACATTTATGTTTCAATACTCTAGTCTTATCTATTTAACCGAATAGTAACCGAATCTAGTCTGGCTTCTAATCTGGCTAAGGCGTATCTGTTTAGTCTTATCTGGTTAAAGGTGTTGGCTAAAGACATAATAAAAAATAAAAAAATAAAAAAATTATTTAATCTTATCTGGCTAAGACGTATCTGTTTAGTCTTATTTGGCTAAAGATGTAGTTGTTTAATTTTATCTAGCTAAGGCGGGTTTATTTAATCTTATCTAACTAAGGCGTACTTATTTAATCTTATCTAGTTAAAGGTGTAGTTCCCCTATGTTTCCTTAATTTATTCATATGGACTGTACGAGTCTTATTGGCATTCATCTCTAACTTAAGATTATTATTATGCATAATTTCCAATATTTTATACGGTCCTAAGTATTGATCGCTTATCTTGCTTTTACTGGGTTCCTCTAACAGATATACGTAGTCGTTAACTCTAAAACTCTGCTCGTTTATTTTGTGGTCATAGTAAAATTTCGATTTTTCTTTTGCTGGTTAAAGTTTGTTCGTGCCACTTCTTTAACGTTGCGTACTTTATTGAAGAGATTCATGAGGTATTCGTTATAAGTTTCGTTTTTGAGACCATCGGTAAGAGGATTGTTGGTTGGTACACGCGCAATTTTTCCGAACACTAGCTCGTGCGGAGTGAATCTTGTTCCTTCATGGACGCTTGTGTTGTATGAAAATGATGCTAACTGCAGATACTGGTCTCATTCGTGATTTTTATCTACAAATTGTTTTAAATATTCCCACAGAACGTGGTGCGATCGTTCAACCGATTTGTTGGCCTGAGGTCTGTATGCTGTCGTGTGATATTGCCTAATTTTGAACTTCTTTGCTACGGCTTTGCTCAGACTATTTACAAAATTGGAGCCTTAATCCGTCAAAATGGCTTTTGGTGCGCCGTAAACGCAGATACATTTGTTTGTAAATGCGTCGGTTATGGGTATTGCTGAAACTTGTTTAAGAGGGATTGCCATAGAGTATTTAATGAAAAGGTCTCGGATAGTAAGAATA